TGTGAAATCCCACTTTCTTGTCACACCCACCAGCAGGTGACAGGTGTCCTGTTTACCACAGGAGCTGCCTAACCAAAGAGGAACCCGATTTGGCCACTGGGCTTGGTCCAGGGACACTCAGGCTATGGACGGCTGGGTTGCAGCTGCCAGTCAGGAAGCAGATATTGGTGGCCTCTCTTGGGAACCTCACAGAACATTCAACATGGCTCTCAAAAAATTTTTTTGAACCAAAACCTCTCAGTAACGTAGGGGGAAATAAAGATGGGGCTGATTCAAACAAAAACTGGTTGAAACCTAAAATATAGCTTAATGTTGAATGTACGTCATGAACTGGCAATACCTTCAAAGTGACACCTATCACATTAATGGCCTCTTTCAGTTGAGGATGGCTTGTACACTGTGCGAGTTCTTCACATATCCAGACCCCGAGGGAGCAAACAGCAATGCATCTTTGGAAAAAAAAGGAAAAGGAGGAAAACTTTCATGAAATTTAACGTTTTAAATTTAATTCCTGGACCAAATCTTCTTGGTATCTTCAAATGACAAAATATTTGAAATCTTTTTTACAAAGTCGCAAAACTTATAGACAGATTAACAGAATACCTTCTTAAGAAAAAGAATAAGGTACCCTCAATAGGCCAGGTTTCAGGAAAAACAGAAATATTGATAATGGTTAGTAATTAAATATTTAATGAAATAAATTTATATTATCTGTTAGTGGCAAAGATCACATATCACTTACAGATCACATATCACAGATCACTTACTTTTGCTGAAACTAATTTTTTATTAAATTTTATTGCTTTAAGATATTTTTGAGGAATAATCAAAAACATGACTCTTAGAAAATTGTTGGAAATTGAGTTTATAACTGTTTTCCTTATAATAAAACACACGACATCTACCACAAACAGAAAACAAATGCTGTATTTTAAGGAATATCTGAATACAACTTTCAAAATAAGTTTCACTGTTATTTCTTTGAAACAATGTGTTAAGATAAAATAGTCTTTGAGTTGCACAGTCCTTTAAAAATTACCTTTTTCAATTATAAATCAATTTTCAATGGTAATTCTCTTTGGAACTGATATACTCCACTATCTTTTGCAATAATTAAAAATTCTTGTTAATTTTTTTTTTCTGAATGCCTATATGTAAAATTAAAATACTTGCTCCCAAATCTGCTCACTCTCAGAACAAAAAGGGGATTCAAACCACTACTTGGAGCCAGATGTTGGTTGCAATATGTCTATGTTGTTCTTTGTAGAAGAGGTCACATCCAGTGCCAGTCAAACTGGACAATACTGCTCAGCTCTCCATACTGAAAGTTCCTTTATATCCGATATAATTTGACAATTAAAATCAATATATTTTGAGGTTTTAAAACCACCAAGTTTCACTTGATTCTCCCCTCTTTAAGTCAGGATAGATTAAGTACGTCAGAACAAGCACATTAAAAACCTTTTGGAGACTGTGTCACCTTCTACCAAAATTCACTCAGTGAAAGCAGTGCAACTCAGTTTACAAGGTATGCCAGGCCGTTTTTGTTTCTCCAACACCAGCCTTATACAGAAGTTCCACAGGATTCTAACCCTCGACATTTCTTACTGTATAGAATTGTCTAAATCTATCTCTTCTCTTGCCTAATTCCTATGCTTATTCTCAATCTAGAAAACATACTTTTCACTCTTAGTTTGCATGTACTCTACATTCTTTCAAAAAGCCTCTTTATTTTCCCCCAGCTTCACCCAGATTCTGTTCAACTCATTAAAATCTACACAACTGGAAATTATATTGAAAATTCTATTTTTACCATTTAAGAGCCTGTCTTCCTTTGCGTACATCTGTGTGTGTATGAATACACACACATTTTTTTTACAGCCCATTAACCTATCTGTTAAATGTAATTTGTTAAGAGCAAAGAGCTCTCATTTCTAGCAACACCTGCATTACTCTGTAACTATTAGCTTTGCACTATGGAGAACATTTGTGACCCGTAAAATGGTTTTATAATCTAAACTACTCTCACCTGCTTTGAGTTTTAAGCCACACTAGCTTATAATAGCTTTCCATGCTATTTTCTCTCCCATTTAGCATCGTCCAATTCTAATATTCTTAATGATTCCTTATGCCTAAATGCTCTTGTTAATTAAGGTTCCCTGCATCCCAAGTATGTCCTTTGTGATCCCAAATAAGTTTTTATCTATCAAGACTCTTTTTTTTTTAGCTAATGGCAATACTACCTTCCTTCTCATTCTGTATTCCAACACACTCTCTTGACACTGTTTAATAACCTCACACCACTCCAATTTATATAAGAAAAACTTATTTTTTCTTACTTTTTCTAAATTATTATCACTCACAATTATATTTCCTTTTAATTCTCCTCCATTTAGTTCAGATCTTGACCATATTTCAGTCTGCTTGCTTATGTACACTTACATGCCCTTACTTTCACTGTCTAATTCCTTTTCTACACAACTTAGACTGACCATGTTGTACACACTTCCATTCCATGTTTAAGTACACAGAAATTTGACTTTCTACACTAAAGAAAAGGGGTTTGAAGAAAAGGTATTGTCAATACTTGTTGAAAGTCTGAATGTGGTGGGTATGGGAAAAGGAGAAATCAAGGATTTTCCCCCAAGCTTCTTGATTGAAAATCTCGGTAGATGACGCTGCCATTCACTGAGGAGAAGTCTGAGGGACAGTAAGCAGACTCAAGGGTTGAGTTACAGTTGTGTTAAGTTTGCATATATTAAGACATCCAAGTTGAGATATCAAGTAAGCAGTTTAAAATATAAGCCTGAATCTATAAGGGGTTCACAGAAGAGACCATGTAAGTAAATTCAGTATCATCAGCAGGTAGGTGATATTTAAAGTCTGGTTAGAACGAATAAAAGCACCTAGAAAGTCATGGAGAGCAAAGAAGACCAGTCCTAATCCTCGAGTCCTAATAACATTCAAAGGTTAGGTAGAGGAGGAAGATAGGAAAGGAGCAGCTGATGTAAAAGTAAAATCAGAAGATTATGTTTTAAGGAACTAGCATCATTCAGAAAGAGGGTAAAGATAGACTGACTTCAGAATTAGTAAGATAAGTATGCATATTACAATTTCTAAGGTAACTTCTAAAAGAACTGAAAGAGTATCTATGACTTCTAAAAAAAATGGATGTAATAGATGGAATATGGAAAAAATAATTATCTGAAAAAAAGAAAAAGTCAAGAAAGAGAAAAAGAGTGGAAGGAAGGAAGGAAGTCAGGAAGGAAGGACAGAAGGGAGAAAGGAAGCAAGAAAAGGAGAGGGGGAAAAATGAAGGCAAAAGAAGAGAAAATGAACTGTTGAGACACATTAATAACAAAGTATAAAATAAGATGAAAGAAATACATCCAAATATATCAGTAATTGCAATAAATGTAAATAAACTAAAGCTTTAGTTAAAAAATAAAGATCAAACAGGATAAATATATAAAATCAAGTATATACAGTTTTTGTAAAGACATTTAAAAGAATATAGAAAGATTAAATTTAAAAGGATAGAAAATATTATTTAAAAATAGCTGGATCAGTATCAAACAAATGGTCTTTAAGATAAAAAAAATCACCCTTTCAGATAAAGAAGGTCACTACATCACATAAATATAAAAGATTTGATTCACTATAGAGATATGATAATTCTCAACTTCTCTACAACTAATAAGATAGCTTCAAAACATATAAAACAGTAATGGACAGATATACAAGGAGAAATAGATAAATGTACCGTAATAGTGAGTGATTTTAACATGTTTTTTTTCAGTGAATAATTAAAATGATGAAAAAAATATAAAGGATATGGAATAAAGGACATGATTTAAAGAATTAAGAAAATAGATACATCTAGAACACTACACCCAACAACTAAAAAACAATTCTTTTCAAGCATACATGAGACATTTGCAAAAACTAACTACATATGGGGACATAAAGCAAATCTCAACAACTTCTAAGGCAATTATTATCAGGCAGACAATATTTCTGATCCACAATGCAATTAACTAAGACATCAATAGCAAAAAGATAAATAGAAATAATATGCCTGGAAATTTAGAAATATGTTTCTAAATAAATCATGACTCAATGAAGGAATAGAAATGGAAATTGGAAAAAAAAACCTGTAATGAAAAAATTAGTAAAGCATTTTCTTAATTCCTGTTACACTTTTCAGTGTAAGAGTAATGTGAAAGAATAAGTGTTTATTAACAATCGGTGTTTACACATAAATGTGTATCTTAAAATTGTAAAATAGTTTACCTTTATTCAACATTTACCTTGCACATTCACTTGGTTCCTCTGTGGCATTCTTCAGTAAAATATTTATGAGGTAATGCTAAAAGCACAAAGTTAAATAAAATTAAAAATTTTGTTTCTCACATATTCTGACCATGTACCAAGCAGTCAGGAGGTACTGAAGGATGAGGGAGCTCTGGAGGGGCTCCCATCAGGGATACCCCTGGGGAAGGAAACACAGGGCTCGTGGGGAGTCCCCTGAGCAATTAAGCCAGCCTAGAGAAGAGTATTTCCAGGTATACAATAAAAACCTAGAAAGCAAGTGAGACTTCTAGCTAGAAAAATCTCAGTTTTCTTTTACTTTAATTGGATTATATACTGTACACTGAATTTTATATTTTAATTATGTACCATAGACAGTCAGACAGAAAGACAGACAGACTGATCGATTCTGGGATTTGAAAAGTATTTTTGTTTGCCCCAAAGTCAGCTGAGGAGAGAACAAATGCTTACTCTTATTCTCCAAGGAATTTCAAATTATTAGTAGCATTTAATCAGGCCAATAATGAGACTGAATATTTAAGCTTATTTACATTATGTCTTATAAATTCATCTGATGCACTAATGCAGCATAATTAAACTGATAAAATTATTATAAAGGATGATTCATTACATAATTATGACTCATAGGCATGATAAACGAGGAACCTAACAGTTATTACTGCAATATGCTCTGAATCTCATATATTTAATCCCCCTAAAACAGCCTTCTAAAAATACGATTATTGAAACATTTAAACAATACAGCAAAACTTTGAGGGATGATTAGATCATAGTATAATAATGAAAGAGATAACCATATAGCTAGAATTATAAATTGTTAAACTTGAGATTCAATAAAATGCATTATGTACCTTGACATCTTCGGTTCCTGTAATGACTTCACTAACTTTCGGCATGGACTGCAGCAAAGGGATTTCCCGGTAGGTATTTGGAAAGCAGACAAGAGAACCAAGAATGGTGAGAGCTTCTGAACGAGGTGCCTGCACACAAAAAAGTGAAACACACATTTTTCTTTTCATAAGTTAGAAGCTTTAGATAAGAGACACCATGTTTTACTTTTTAATAATTTTGAAAGAGAATCTTTATAATTATTTTATCCTAGATAAGGCCTATCAAACTATGCCTGGTTATTTTTCCCCAGGTGAATACTTAGGGAAGAGAGGTTTGCCTAAATGAGAAAGGAAATTTCCAAGGAATGGAAAATATCACTACACTTAGATATAATAAATAAGCATTGTAAAAATTGGTCTGCAGTGTCATTAAGAGTCAGAAAAGCAACTGACTCGGTCATGACCGTTTTGCCTTTTTTTTTAATCTTAATGTTCTTGATAAAGCAGGTCAAATGATATCAACTCAGTTTTGCTGTGAAGATAGTTAATGAATATTCCTAAAGAAGGGTTGAAGCTATCAGAAGGTAGAAAAAGAGCGAAGACATCCTCTACCAATTTCTCGTTTCCAAGAACTACTTTACAAAATAACATGTAGTATCTGACACCTAGTGAGATACAAAATCATTTGTTTGTCATTATTGGAATTTGGTTATCTATTAAAGGCGGTATTTCACTAGACTTCAACTTAGTCAACAGTTATATGATTAGCCAAGAATGGGGGCAGGCACCAGAATTACTAAGGTATTTTATCCATCCACTCACTCATCTGTTCATCCCCTCTGTCTATCCACTATTATCTAATAACAATGGCAGCTGACACTTATGGAATTCTCACTCTGTACTGTACAAGCATTTCTTCACAGAATGTTCTCAACAACCCAATGAAGTGGATACTATTATCATTTCAATTTTATAGGTGAGAAAATTGAGGCTTAGAGAAATTAAGTAGTTTTTCAAGTGACAGACCCTGATTGGAACTGAGGCCATCTAACTCTAGGGTCCATGTTGGACTTATACTGTTAAGTACCTGAGTATGAAATGAAAGAGAGCTTCCCTCACACACAGATGTCAGTGTGGTGTGTGGGGTGGGAGATGAGAGGCAAATAACACTTACATACAATTCAGGGAAGCAGGTGCTACAAAAGCCACACTCTATAGATATCATGGGAGCCCAGTACATTCATTTTTTTACCTAGCATGGTTCTCATTAGCACACAGGTAAATAAAAGACAATATAAAACACAGAGAGGGATACTCTATGGGAACCAAGACGAGGCAATATTTGCTCTGTTCAGGATGGTAAGGAAGCACTAAAACAAACTGCTGCTAAGAGTCATACAGTGGGGTATGAGTCAGCCAGGCAGGTGGAGAGCAAGAGAGTGAGGTAAGGAGGCAACAGGCATGTTGTAGGCAATAGAAATGGAAAAGGCAAAGGCACTCAAGGAACCCACGGAACTGTAAAAGGTCCCACATGCACAGAGCCCAGAGAATATGCAAGTGTGCATGCAAGGGCTAGGGGGTCCTACAGTGGGACAAAACTCTGAACGCATCAGAGCTATCTAGGAAGAGACCCCACAGGCCACGTGGCACAGTGCTCATCTCATTCCACCTGAGGAGTGACGCCATCCTAACCCCCGCAGGCATGTAGCAAGTATCATACAGTCCCTGAAGTATAGTGGTGGCAAGAGTATGACAGCTCTGAATGGGGCAATGGCATCAGGGATAGAGATATTTATCTTTAATGTTTTACTTCATTTATAAATACAAAGATTTGAAACTACTACAGCAAAATGTTAAAATTTGCTGAAGTTGGTCAGTGAGTATACAGTCTGTTACATGATCTCCATCATGCAAAACTCAATGGTCACCATTGAGTCCTTACTTCACCTGACCCCTCAGTGGCACTGGAAAGAGCTGATTGCTCGCTTGCTCCTGGGAATAATTTGGCCTCTGGGACACCTTTTTTGGATCCCAAGAAGGTCTGACAGTCTCCATGCTGGAGCTTCTTATTTCCTCAGGATTTAAACTCTGGGATTCTCAGTACAGTTCTTTGCCCTCTTCTTAGGTCACTACCTACAGGATATCCAGACCCACGGATTTAAATGCCTTCAGCATGTTGCTCACTCCCCAACAGATCTTTCTAGCCCGACTTCCTTCCTGATGTCCGGATTTGTAAATGTGATTGCTTGTTTGACATCTCCACTTGGGGGTCGAGAAGGCATTTCACACTGACGAGCTTTACCTACCACAAAGTTCTGCAATTCTGTATAACACTACCCCGCCTCCATCATTCTGTCTTATGTTCTGCCTTTACTTTTCTTTATTTTTATGTTAAGAAAAACTTTAAACCTAAAAGGAGAGAGAATGTTTTACCTCTATACCCAACACCTAGATTCAAGATTTTACCACTCTTACCTCATCTGTCTCCTTTTCATTTCTCATTTCAAGATATAAAATTCACTGAAAAGTTTCCACTTTCAATATTTTAAAGCAGTTCAGGATATTATGTCATTCCACCTCTGTGTTCTCCAGCATCTCTGCTTTTTTTTTCATCATTATTTCCTGTTGCATTGCATATTCATTTAATGTTTTACCCTCCCATGAAGGCAGCAGTTAGACAGTTTTCATCACTTCTCCACCCCAGTGATGCTCAATTAATTGCCTTAAGATAAAAGATGGCTGCTGCTAACTTTATTTACTGGAGGAACACTGATCACCTTTCAGGTCTCTGCTTTAGCATCACTTCTTCCATGAAGACTTTTCTAATGTATGTCTTCCCTTCTACCTTCTACCAAGCAGAATTAACTAGATGTGATTCTACAGTGGCTGCTACAAACTTATGTACAAATGCTACTACTGTACATAGGGTAGGGATTCTATCATACTCATCCAGACCAGGTCCTGGCACATAGTAGGTCCATGGTAAATGTTTCTCAAACAGATTTGTAACCGTCATTAACTGCTGTTCTTTCCACCAGACAGTCTTAGTTTAGACTTCATTGAGTTGATTCTTTTCCCTGAGCAGCCTTAACTATTGTGTAGTGTGTAAGCCTGGCTTGCACTGTGGACTTTCAGAGGGAATGCTAGACTATATAACAACCAAATATAAAACATTCAATCATAAATAAAATAGTTAGTTGTTACACAGCTTTATTCAAAGAATGTAGTAAATCTAGATAACTTTTTTTCCCTAAGCGCTAACTAAGCCTATAGTGAGTCACAATTTACAAGCAGACAAATGAGGCCCTAGTGTTTAAGAATATTGCCAAAGGACAGATAACTTCCAAGGTCAAGGATGAGAAGCGAATTATAATACTCTATCTTTTGTCACACCACAGTTTATCTGTTCTGTTGCAGATGGACATTTGGATTGGTTCTAATTTTTGGCTATTACGAATGTTTGCTAAACACAAGCTTCTACCTATCTTCTGGTGACCTGTGCATGCATTTCTCTTCCCCTCATTGCCTCGGCAGAGCAGGTCTTACAGAGCTGGGGTACTTCCAACCTGTTAATTAACCATGTTAACTGAATTCTGACTGAGCAGGTGTGCCCCATCTAAACACCTCTTTTTTACATTTTTAAACCTCATTTAAACAGAGAGTAATTCAAAGTAATTTAAAGAGTTACTATTCTCTTATATGTAACTCTTACATGTTCTCCCCTCTCCCTTCCTCACTCTCTCTCTCTCTTTCTCTCTTAAAAAGTATTTTGGAAGGGTACTTTAACAGCTCGTCTAGCTGAAAGAGAAGTTTTCACAGAGAATAACCTCCATGCATGATATTACTTCAGAAAGGGTGCCAGCATTTGTAGAGGAAATTCTCACAGCAAGTAAGAAAAATTTCAATAAAGAAGTATGATTTCCTTCCTATATCCTGTTAAGTTTTTTCAATGTTGATTTGAATGGTTAAAGATAAATCTGAAGGTTCGTTGAGGATGATTATCCTAAAGTCTAATGAAGTATTTAAAATCATCATGTTTTTTACAAAAAAAAAGTTGAATGACAGACCAACATTTTTCTTACTTTTTTTTTCTCTCATCCTTCCCTTTTGCTCCTAGCTCTTTTCCCTTTCCTTTGTTTGTAAATTTATCCTTAAGTGGAAAAGTTAGTGCATGAAAATACCAGAATGAAATACCAGCTATACGAAGTATTAAAAAGCAATTTAATTTAAAACCCAGGGTTGGAGTTTGAATTTACCCTGCACAGAAGAAATCAGTGGAGTGAAATAGTAACAATGTGTCTAACAAAATTTAGGTAGCTAGATACTCCTACCCATTTCAATATAAGCCCCTGGCAAACAGTAAAGCTAATTTTATTTATACAATTCGAAGAAGAAAAAAATGAGTCTGAGCTAGTAACAGTTATAGAGAGCACAAATGTGAGAAGCCCTTTAAATTTAAATGTGTAAGAGTATTCTCTCAAAAGGCATTAAGACATTGCCCTAATAGTGAAGGTAAATGTGGAGATAACAAACAAATACTTTTTGTAGCCCTTAATACCCATGTGGTCCACTTGCTGCTGCTGCTTCCTTTTTTTTTAGTACGAGAATTCTGCACATTAATAAGAAAAAAATATCAATTTTCTGGTTAAAAATGTAGTGTACTAACATTTTAAGAAAATATTTTCTACTACTAATAACCAAGACAATAATGGAAAAAAAAAACCTTACTGGTAATGTGTACACTTAAAGTTCTCTCTTTATTACAGACATCAATGTCTGTGCCATCATTTACTAGAAAAGGCTAATAAGATTCTAAGAGACAAGTCCTGCTTCTGACTGTGTAAATGTTCTGAAATATTAGTGAGGATATGATTTCTCACACTCTGGCCTTTTGATGAAACGCCTTTCCAATACTAGTGTGTCATCTTATCCTACAATTTCACACATCAGCTGCCAGGGCATCTACCCGAGAGCCCAGTTTCACATTGCACTAATGAGTCAACACCTGTTAAGAGTGGAGAAATCTGAACCTTGTTAGCGATTGTGAAGCCTCCTGGGAGTTTAGATGCTGAGCATTGTCATACTCACCGCCAGCATGTCTGTACCGAGGACCCTGGCAGCAGCCGTGATGAAGTCTCCCACCAACATTGAAAAGCCAGGCAAACCCAGGGAGAAGAAGCGGGGTGGACAGTGCCTTATAATGGTGTTTAAGATATCCTAAAAGGGAAGAAAACACAGTTGTAATCTTCAAGAACAAAATTCTGAAGGGGTCAGTCTGTACATGGCCATTGTATAATAACCTAAGATAACATAGATCACAGAAATCTCTCAGTGAAAGGGTTACTGGGAGATGAGTTAGTTCAAAGGCTATTGTACCCATTTTATATGTAAGAGAATGGAGACACTAAACTATAAGATGACTTGTCCAAAATCTAAATTGTGGCATTGGGACCAGACACTTCTTTTTGTCTTCCACCTAAAGGTGAGCTTCTTGGACAAGCTACAGGAAGAGTATTAGGGTAAATACACAAATAAAACTTTCAAACATCACTTTCCATATTCTTCAGTTTTCAAAAGTTAATCATGCTGTTACATTAAAATATCTTAAAGTAGGTGAAGAGATGGAAATTTTCACTCTCTGGGTAATTCTGTATGTTAAATAATGGGAATGTATGGGGTGCTAGGATAATGTTGTGATCAGTCATACTCTAAGGTCAGGTAGTCAGTGTGGCTCTGAGTGTAAGTATGATCGTGAGGCACGGGTGTACAGTGCAGCAGTCATCTTTTGCAGTGTGCTGTATGAAGACCATCAATTGCCCAGACGGCTGGTGCTCCTGTGTCTGGAATAGCCTCTCTCTGGTGGGTAGCAGGCTGGCTCCTGCCCATCAGCTCTTTTCTGAGGCAGTCACCCATGCCAGTCTGTGGCAGATCAGACCAAGACAACACCACTGGACTGCAATTATGACACCACTGGACTGCAATTATGTCACCCATGGCCAGGCCACATCTATGAAACCATCTGTGTACTGTGTGTGTGTGTAAGGAGGATTGGTAAGAAAACCAAAAACTTCTTTTATGCAGTTCTAGGCCATGTACATTAATCAAACATACTGATGTACTACAGTTATGTGACTTACAGTTATACAATCTATAGTTGGTCTCAAAATACAAGAAGCAAAATACAGAAACAATCTGGTTTCTTTTCTAAGACTTCAGTGTGGCTATTTCAAAAATCCTTCAAAGTAATCCCACTTTAATTTGATTAGAGCAAAGTAGTAGCTACATGCTCAATTCTAACGTTAAGTCCTTTGTAATCAAAATAACCTCATTTAACAACTTATCATAAAAGAGGATTTTTATGTGTTCACAAAACATTTTTTAAGTAAAACCTTATTTTTTCTTACATAGTGAATCATTTAGTTTCTACAATTTGTGCTGTTTATATCCTTAAAAGAGACTGTTCAATGCTTACCCTATTAGAGCTTATATACAATAAATAGTTCAGCAAGTACTAATTTAAAGTGTTAGCATTTCAGCAGACTTTTTCTTATACCAAAAATAAATATAGATGGATAAATAGACAGATAAAAGGAAGGAAGGAAAGAAAAACCTGAACCAAACTTCTTACAAGTTAATGTTTAAACCTCCTTTAATCACGTCCTTTGATACACTTTAGGGTCCATATCAGCCAAGGTAAACATTCTAAGGGGCTGAGCAGATGGATGCTGCAGTTTAGAAAGTGTGTGGTAAACTCATGCTCCAAAAGTGGAACAAAAGATCCACCTTTTTTATAATTAAGCCTCTGATTAATGCCCTGGGCTCCTCACCACACACCTGTAATTACTCACAGAGGTACGCATTGTGCTGGGCCTTGTCTCGGAATATCAGGCATCAAGCTATCCGGCAGCAGATGGAAGCACATTTCTGTTGACATATGCTGCAATGAAAGGACTCATGCAAACCTAGCTAGCAAGGCAGCAGAATGCCATGCATTTGAAGATTAATAATGCAAACAACCATGATGTTAACTTTGTTGTTTATGTTAATTCCATCTGGTAAGATGAGGAACTAAGACTTGAACCTCATAGTCTTTAAAAATCTTTAGCACATACTTAAATCAAATAAGCCATTTTCACAACTGGAATTTAGAGTTTTAATTAAAAAATGTTTTTCTGAAATAAGTTTATGGGAATTATGAACTAAATCGTTTAATAAGCTAAAGTTAGAATGTGTAAATGAAATCCATTTTGCTTCATCATGCATATGTATAAAGACAGTGATCTGTAAAGTGGGCATTCACAAAAAATTACTAAGTTGCCACTGATGCTAAAGACAGCAAAACTTTGTGTAGTCGAGGTTAAGTTACACAGCTCCCCAACCCCTGGATCTTGGCCAGTCACTTCAATGAAACCTATTTCTATTGGCAAGAAGATTGGAAAGAGAGGGCAAAATAACAGATGGCTAGCCTACTCTACCCTGCCACCCACGTAAGATGGAGCCCCAAGGAAAAGTGGGGCCTGTGCTGCTGTGCAGTTAAAGATGGCACTAGCGTAGGATTAAGGTGGGGCTTAAAGAGGGAAATAGATGGTCAGTAAGCCAAATTACGGCCATATGCCTGCTTATTTTACTTATCCACACTGAAATGGAATGACCCAAAGATTATATCTTTGTGATAACATTTTAAAATTAGGAATAACTGTGTGGTAGTCAAAACAGAGCAGCTGCATATTCCCAATAGAGGGACAAAATATACATTCATTTCTAGTAGAACCTTTCTTTCAGCGTCCCCTTGATACATTAAGATCACAGCCATAACTGGAATCTTTGGAAAAATTAAAATCTTGAGACTCTGAAACTTTCTTCACAGTCTCCAAGGCTTTACATACGGATAGCAAAGGAGAGCACTTCCCAAACACCAATCATTCATGTACAACCTCATGCTTTTTGTCATGTCTACATCTAAAGTGAACATTATTTATTTTTCAAAGTAATTTACTTTTTTGAACTTGAGATTATTCTGGAAAACTAGTATCCTGTGTCATATATAGAAAATAAGCCTTAAATCAATACAATAACAGTAAACCAAGACAACCATAACAAGAATTTTTGCTAAATGTCACTGTCTGATGGAGGCTCTCCTGTTAAAAAGGGTGGTTTGCATCCTAGGGTGGTGTGAGAGAGGTTCTGTACCGGTTCCAGTCGGCCTGACTGGGAAGAGTCACAAGGACTGGAAAGGGTACATTATTCCCACTGTGCAATTTGATGCTACTTAGTGCTACCTCCATTGTGGCTACCAGTAGGAAATACCCCTCTAGAACTGGGACCACGAGGCCTAGGTTCAAGGCCTAGTGTATGTGATTATGGGAAGATCATGTCATTCCTAGAGTTTCACATTTCTCTTGCACAAAATGGGATGATTTCCCTTTACAGAGCTGTTTCTAAGTGGAATAGCAGATGCAAACTCGTGCCTCTGTAAACTGAAAAGGACGAAAAAGAAGTAAATAGTAACAAGTAAAAAAATTTTTTGCAAAAATGGGAGGACTATGAAAGACTTTACTTTCTAGAATTTACTTTGTAGGATTCAGTGAACTATTGTTTTGCCAATATTAAGAAAAAAACATTTTAAAATATTTCAAAGGTGGCACAAATAAGTCTCTTAGATCACATTACCCCAGAAATTAAAAAAGAATGAAAGTAATGCTTTCAATTAACATCCTTAACAAAGCATTACAACAATTAACCATAGTGTGTAAGTGAAATAAAAACAGAAAAATGATCTTTTTAGATTTTCTAACTTCCATTCTTCTAAGGAGTTAGAATTTACCCCAAACAAGTAACTCTGGTAGCAAAAATTAAGTTTCTTTTTCACACTCTACACAGACTAAAACCAATAAGCTAAATAATAAGCTCAGTGAAACATGGGCTCTAAAACAGGAATGGTTTATTCCTGAAAATTGACAATTTGAAACAGATAAAACTCTTTCATAAGCTTTTGTTTAAAAGAAATAAAATTCATTTTTCAAAATACTGTAATATAGTGAACAGACCACAAAACTAGTATTTTTCTGTTGTTTTTGGTTAAAAGTCCACGCATACACTACTACTACCCACTGAGTGTGAAAACTAGATTGTAAGATGATAATTGTGAATTTGCAGCTTATCAAAAGATTCAGGTTTATGAGAAAGTAACTGGTGAGAACATCTGTCTCTTATCACTGATCTTACAAAAAATCAGGTAATTCAAATAGAGGCATGTTGTTTCCTCTCCTCTAAAGCACAGTTCTATAAACACAAACCACATTCAGCCTGGTAAATGAATCGCTTTAATTGAATGCTATGTACACAGTAACTGGAAAAACCATAAGTGATAAGAAAAACATATGGTGATGGCAACAGAAATTGGTTTATTCATTTTGCATAGTGTTGTTTCTTTAGTTCTCTTATAATTGACCTTTAGAACGATAAATGTGTAAAATAATTTTGTTTATTATGGCTCCAAACCTTCCAACAATTACACAAAATGAAAATTTAAAAGGAAGGATTCATTCTGGAAGCATTTCCATTGTTTACATAATTGCACAGCTATAATTTAGTGCTCATGTTGTTATGGAAAATAAAGAAAAGGGCCATTACAGGCCATTTCAATTTAAAATATTGCACAGTGGTGTCAAAAATGAAGGAAAATGTTCACTTTAAAGCAGTTTAAAATGGATTAACCCTGTAAACAAAAAACATTTCAATATAATATTCTATGAAATACAAATGTTCAAGAAGTAGCCATCCTTCAAACAGAATTAGAAATGTTGCAACTGTACTTTCACACCAATTACATATATATTATACACTTAATATTTGCTCATGGCCCAGCAGATGATGGCTGTAACACAATAGCCAGCCATCTGTCTCCCTGCCTTTCCTTAGCGGACTTGCGCCTGCTCCTCAGGAGCAAACAGATCTGGTTGTTCCACCTAAAGTCTCTCAGACCTTCCATCAGGCCAAACAGAATTGTGAAGAAATAAAATCTATGTATGCAAAATCACTGAACATTAACTTTTTAGTTTAAGAAAATTAAAATGCTTTGCAATTAATGACTTCATTATTATTTTCAGAGAAGATACCTTTTATCTAGAAAATTCCATAGAAAGCTGTTTTGTTTGGTAAAATGGGGTAATGTTCAGATCTAGTTATCCCAGTAATCTGATTAATAAAAAAGTACA